AGGGCTCTGGAGGCCATTGATATTTATTAATAGTGACCTGGGAAAATAGTATTTTTCCTACTGCCCCCTGCAATAGAGTACAATCTTAGATCAATTTTTATAGAAATTTCATATAAATATTAATTTCCAAAATGGCAAAAGGAGGATTTTGTTTACGTTTGCATGGAAAACCAGTAAGTGATCTGAAAACATCTCTGTCGATACTTAATAAATAGAAAGATAATAGGTAGATATTAAAGTAAATGTAAAAATGGTTATAAATGATTACTTAGAGGGAGTCCTAGTCCACAGGTCACTAAATGTTAGCTTGAATATTTCTGAATGATCAACGTCTTCTCATTTCAATGGTAAAATGAAAAGTGATGGTAAACACATTACTAAATGTGTCAGATGAGATGATACTTAATATTTGTTTTGAAACTGAGGCTTACTTACTGTGTTTGGGTATAGTTGCATGCAACTGAAAAATGTACCACTACCTTATTACTAAAGAAAGCAAGAGCAGGAGCTGAAAGTGTTGCTGTTTTTTGTTTTTTTTTTTCCATAAAGAAATAAAAATTCTTTGCTTTTTATAGCACTTTCCACTCAAGGGACTTTAATTCATCACTTTATAGTTATAAATACACTAAACCGCCCGCAGCCTGTCTGTGAAAAATACACCTGCTACAAATGAGCAGAGTTGAGATTTATCACACAGTAAACTGATATCAGAACGGGACTAGAATAGAGGTGCAAATCTTAAACAGACAGCTTGTGGTAGAGAGAATAATGCCCCCAACAAAGCTTGCTCACCTCCTAATCCCCAGAACCCGTGAAGATGTGAGGTTGCATGACAAGGGAGAATTGAGGTTGCAGACAGAGTTACTATGCTAATTGGCTGATTTTAAAATAGGCAAAGTATTTTGGATTATCCAGATGAGTTTACTACAATCACAAGGATTTATAAAAGTAGAGAGGAAAGCAGGGAAAGAGGCCAGGGTGACGTGATGTGATGTGATGTGATTGATGTGATGTGATGTGATGTGACTGATGTAATAGGATTGATGTGATGTCATGTCATGTCATGTCATGCCATGTGAGAGAAGGGTGTGGCCCACTGCTGTTGACTTTGAGGTGAGGAATGCAGTAGCCTCTAAAGGCTGGAAAAGACAAAAATACCAGATTCTCCCCCAGAGCCTCCAGAAAGGAATGCAGCTCTGCCCACACCTTGATTTTAGCTCAGTGAGACCCATGTTGGATTTCTGACCTAGAACTGCAAGATAAATAAAGTTGTAATGTTTGAAGCCACTGAATTTGTATTAATTTGTTTTAGCAGCATCAGGTACTAATTTATGGCTGCTTAATCAATTAGGAGCAACTAATGCAAACAGAGTCATGGAAGACTATAAATAACCAATTTAAACAACCAAAAACTAACATTTAACTTGGAACAAAAATTCATTTTTGAAGCAATAAAAGCGGAAGCACACGCATTCCTTGGCTTAAAGAAAAATGGAAAAGGAAATATGTATGAGGAATGTTTTTTCATTTCCACTAGAATACTAGAAGAGAAAAGGGATTAATAAGAAGAACATATTGATCTACAATATGAGGTAAGAGTTTTAAAAATACGAATTGGAATAGCCTTCTAGGAGTTATGGAATCTTTGTCCTTAGGTTCTTTGAGATGCACAGTGATCTATTTTATCTGCCTTAAATTACTTAAATAGCTACCTGCCTGATGACAGGACTTAGATTAAACGATCTCTCACGTCCTCCTCCAGCCTAAATATTCTCTGCAGACTGAAGCCTATTCAATTCTGTGGCACAAACATTTAGTGCCAGTTTACTCAATGTAAATTATCGTGATACGAATAACCAAAGAATAAGACATAAGTTTGCCTTTAAGAAGTTTTCAATATTATAGTTAAGCAAAGTAAATAACCAAGCATATTCAGGCTAGACCAAAGGAATCATAAGGCATAGATAGGTGATATATTGATAAAAACCCATTAGATATATAAAAATCAATGCAGTCTTATTGGCCCTAAAAAAAAAAAAAAAAAAAAAAAACAGCAAACACTGATCATCTTTGGAAATAAGCAGGACATCAACTTTTAACAGTGAAAATTTATGGCAAAAACCGCAATAACCTTTGCACCAACATAATAAAACCAATATATATGGGAAATAAAAAAGCAGATGAAAGAAATTTCTTCTTTATCATTGGCTAAAATAGGCAGAAAGAATAACAGAATGATAAAATTGCTATTTTGTAACTCCTGAATAAAATAATAGATATGGGCAATGATCATCAAAAGATGCAAAACATTAGGTAAAAATTTGATGGAGAATTTTATTGTGAGAGACCAGGCTAAGACCACTTAAACACATCAGTCTTAGGATTACTAAATGGGACAGGCAGCCATTATGCACCTCTTTTTTGAGTCATTAGGAAATACATAATACCACCTATTAAGTACCGCATTTCCGCTTTCCCCTGAATTCAAAGCTAATACGGCCTCTAGATCTAATTACATCTTCATAGGAACCACAGGGGATAGAGGAGCCAGCTCAAAGAATACAGAAAGGAAGCAACCGGTCCCGTATTCTGTCACATAGAATATGGACATTCCCTGTGATAAATGACCCAATTTATCTAGAAATCAATAACATTTAAAAAGAGAAGGTAGGAGGATTGTTACAGAATAAAAGACACTTAAAAGACATAATCAAATGTGCCATATAGGCCTGTTTGGATCCTGGTTCACACAAACCAACTCTAAAAAGACATTTTAAGATCACCAGAGAAATTTACTATGGACTAGGGTATAAAATGATATTATGGCATTATTGTTAGAATGTGATAAAGGCATAGTGTTATTAAGAATATTTCTTATCTGTTAGAGATGCATACTGAAACATTTTTAGATAAAGAAAAGTGATACCTGGTTATGCATTAAATACTGGTTATGCAATGAATATAGTATGCATGAAAGAATACACAGAACAAGATTAGTGATACATATTCAAATATGTATCATGAATATGTATCAAAACAGTGATACCTATTCAAGCAGCATGCTGAGATATGAGGGCTTATTTTAATACTCTTTCCTTAGTTGTCTGAAATTTCCCACGATAAAAAAACTTTAAAGAAGAAACACAATAATAAATAAAAGTCTCCCTAGTCTATTTAATCAACTTTCATCATTGAAGCAGTGAAAAGTTAAAATATTTGTGCAACAAACTTTCTGTAGTTTTCTGAACATTTTTTTTTATCAGTGATAATTTGACTATTACTTTAAGACTGAACACTTTCACCTCATATGGAAAAAGAGCTTACAACTGACCAAATTTTCAATTTATATAACAAAAAAACTATCATAAATTAAATATGACTCCTAATGCTCAATGACACTGGGGTCAGTTGGGGGGAAATAGGGGAGGGACGGTGGGGGGTGGGGAGCTGGGGAGAGATAGCAAGGGGAGAAATGCCAGATGTAGGTGATGGGGAGGAAGGCAGCAAATCACACTGCCACGTGTGTACCTGTGCAACAATTTTGCATGTTCTTCACATGTACCCCAAAACCTAAAATGCAATAAAATAAATAAATGGGGGAAAAAAGGGGGAATACGGCATCTGTTTCTATTTGTGTGGGAGCAAACACACAGCTTCCAGTCACTTTTTATAGTAAAGAGTGAATGGAATGGAGACTTCTTTGTGGTTTTTGTAGTCAAAATTAGTGTTACTAGACTTGTCAGCAATGCTTAATTCTCAGATTTTTGGTAACAAACTAGTAGGTTTGCTTTAAAGTGATTGTCTTATGTAAAATCTAGTCTAGACGCTTAATTGGCAATATTATTCTGTTGCCTGATTTTGAAGTCCAACTGAGTCTTTTCTATGAGAAACAAGAGGCTACAGGACAAAAAGATTCATCTTCAATATTCCCTGCAGATTATCAGAGCTCATATGAAGTAATTGAATTTATAGGGTAACACTTCTGAAACCCACAGGAAAGCTCCTAAGCAATAATCTTAGATGTGAAACAAAATATAAACCTCATATTAGACTATTCAGAAAGCCTTTAAAAGTATGAACAACAATAGAGGATCCTTTTCAAAATTATCTATTTATTTATTTATTTTTGAGACAGAGACTCCCCCCGTTGCCCAAGCTGGAGTGCCGTGTTCCTATCACGGCTCACTGCAGCCTCACCCTCCGTGGGCTCTAGAGATCCTCCCACTTTGGCCTCACAGGTAGCTGGGACTACAAGGCGTGAACCACCATGCCTAGCTTTGCATTTTTTGCAGAGAGGGCATTTTGTCATGTTGCCCAGGCCGATCTAGAATTCCTGAGCTTGAGTGATCCACCCACCTCAGCCTCCCAAAGTACTGTGATTAGAGATGTGAGCCACTGTGCCCAGCTTAAAAAAAAAAATCATTCTTAAATGGTTTTATTTGCAAATAATTTTTCTGGAGAAGACTCAAAAGTGACCCACATCCTCAATTTACATTTTAACATGATTTAAAACATTTTTGAAGAAATATAAAATAGTATAATATATACAAAAACTTTAATCTTTTTCTTTGAAATACTCTAAGTTTTTAAAAATATAAAACATTTCCTCTTTTAAAAATGTAGCTTTTCATGAAAAGACACTCAAAACACTGGAGTTGTAATCTATCAAAAGATGGTAAGATACAGCAGGAAGGAAAACTAGTACACGTAAAATATGTTACAGAGATTTAATCCCAGACATTTCAGCTATTTTTTTCCTTATGAATTTTTAAGTTATATGACCAGGGTCAATGAAGATGACTATTTCTGGATGAAATAATTTTTTAATGTAAAGAATTATGCTGTGAGTTGCAACAATTATGAAGATGACTTTTAACGCTGCCATTTGATGAAGCTAAGGACGTACAAGAAATAGTTCTTGACATCAAGATTTGTAGATCACGTTCCACCCACCACCTCTTACCTCCTTTCCTTCCCAGCCCGATACCCAAACACCTTACCAACTATGGCCTCTGTGAATTTCCCTTCAGCGGGAAGAGGGAAGTACTGGTTTGGTGATACATTGCTGCCGTATCCCAGGAGAAGACCTTCAAGCTTTACGTTTGGACTTGGACGCAGGAACTTCAAGAAGATGGAGTCACTTGTGGTATTGATGTGGACTTTCAGGCTTGGCCTTTTACCTAGCGATGGGAATGAAAACATCAATGGCTGTTACTTCTCCTTTTTATCATCCTACCCAAATTCCCAGCAAGTGTGGGAGGCTAGAGCATTGTTCTTGGAAACCATGTTGTCTAGTTTGCTACTCAGTATCACAGCACACGCACCCAAATGCCTCAAATGAAGATTAACAACATAGAGCAGCCTGGAATAAAAAGTGTATCTTACAGTTCAATACTTAGTAGTTTATCGTTGGGCAGGTAGATGGGATTTGGACTATTTTGGCTATTCAAAGTTGGTCAGAACCTTTGCCTTATATACACTGCCTGCGTATGGTGAAATAACCTGAATTTTCTCGTTGGTAAAATTGAATTACTACAGTGCAAAAGCACCCAGTCTCCTCTATGAGGATTTCCAGTGCCACACCCACAGGTCTTAGTCATAGACAGAGTTGGAAAGGGAGAGAAGAAAAAAAGGCTTCTGTCTTAGGGGTAACTGAATAGTAGAATAGGGAATGCCGGAGGGAAGGGTTGAGGAGAAAATGATTAGTTCCATTGGGAGTACATCTGGAAGTACGTGGAGATGTCCAGTAGTGAGTGGGATTTCTAAGTGTGATACTCAGGATGGGGGTGCAGACCCATCTGGGTGTCATTAACTTATAAATGATCATTGTATTAACTTTCCCAGAGAGACTGTCAAGGACGAGAAAAGAGACCTTAATCAAATTCTCAAGACTTTTTTTTTTAAGTGCTAAGGCAACAGAGGCAAATAATCACACTAGCCAAAGGTCTTGACCCAGTGGTGAGGAAACATTGTCTTTTGCCTTTGGAGCCAGAAGGAACCGGGTTCAAACCCCACTTCTGTGACTCTGACGACCCACTGAAGATATTCCTGCCTTATCTTCCTGGTTTCTACATGATATATAACATTTTCCTGCTTGATGAGTTATTTACAAAGGTTAGCCTATTAGTCCGTTGTTACACTGCTATAAAGAAATATCTGAAGGCTGGGCGCGGTGGCTCACACCTGTAATCCCAGCACTTTGGGAGGCCGAGGTGGGT